GTACAGACTTCCAATTGTAAAATAAATAAGTAACCAGGATGTAATGTATAGCATAAGGAATATAGTCAAAATATTGTAACAACTTTGTATGGTGATAGCTGGTAGCTAGAATTATCATGTATATAAATGTTGAATCACTGTGTTGTACACCTGAAACTAATGTAATATTGTGTGTCAACTACCCTTCAATAAAAAAAAACAGCATTATTGCCACTCGGCTCAGCATACTTGGAGAGTGTGCAGCTCACAGCCTGTCAATATGAAGGAAACTGGTTATTTGCTTTTCTTTCTTAAAGCATTAATTTGTTTGCTTCTCTCAAGTAAAAACACCTGACACTGCTCCACCATGAGGGAACTTGGAGAACTACGTCCAGAGATCCCGAGGACTGTAACAGAGCGCTCGCTGCTCTGGAATCACACAGAGCTGGGCACCAGGCGCTGACTGGCTCTAAAAACTAACCGTCTAGGCCTCTGCAGAAAATGGTGATGACAGTTAAATTTGTGTGGGACTTTCTGTGAGGATTTAATGGTACAAGGAATATAAAAGGCTTAGCACAAAGTAAGAGTTCAATACGTTTTGATTATTAGCATTTAAAATTATTTCATTAAAGTAAAACAGTCAAAAATATATTTTAGAAGAATAATTACTCCTGAAATTATTTTAAAGTTAAAATTTACTTCACATTGGTTTAGAATCATGAGATAATGCACATAAAGGTTAAAAAATTTTAATTCTACAGCTTTATAAAAATTCTAAAAGTACAGGAATTTTGCTTAGAGACAGGATGATATAGTAGAATGAACATGATATTTAAAATCAGAAAACTCAGAGTTAAGTCTTGAATCCACCACTTAGGGGACATAATCTCTGGATAGTACAGACACTGCCTCAGACTTATTTTCAAAAATGAGCTAATATCTCCTGTGAGACAGGACTGCAGAGATAAAAGTTTTTAAATCTACACAAAAATGCTTCATGAAATTAAAGGGCTGTGACATTAACATGTACAAGTTTTCATATTTAGTGCATGAAATGTTATTTATTATTATTAAATCTGTCACGTTTGATAGAAAAACAATTTCTGGAGATAATATAAATGATAAAGAAAAATTAGGGGATTTTTTTAAAAGGGGACCACTGAAACTAAAAGTTTTAATACATCTTTACAAACAAATTAAACACATATATTCAAAATATTTCACTAGAGACTTCTTCTGAGTTTTAGGTAGGCTTATATTTACCTACAGTGCTCAATCTTTCTAACATTTTTTTTATGCAAGCCAGAGAAATGTGTCACTTACAAAAGTTACTTACAGGCCTCACTTGCCCTAACATGTTTTAGCAAAGACATTCTTGAGTTTGGGTAACTGGCATGGTCACCCCTCCCTTCCTTATGAATCTGCACCTCCTCTCTTCTTGGAAATGCAAGCACCTACCGCCCTATCACCCAGGTGCAGTCTCATCTATCTTGTCTTCAAGTCCTAGCGGCTGGCTTCCTTCTCAACGTCCTTCCCCAGCCCCTGCCCCATCCCTACAGTGCTTACCAGAGTTTAGGTTCCCATTACCTTTGCATGATGGGATGGGATCATCTCACAACCAATTTTCTTGCTTCCAATTTCTCCTGACAAGCCATTCTATTCATCACTGATTAATTAAACATTCTAAAATCCTTCCTTTGCTGTTCTCTATTCAAAAATTTTTCCAAAAGTACAAAATCTTCAGCCAGAAGTATAAGCAGAGCTTGGAAGCTGAATAATCAGTTGCCAGAGAATCTAGAAGACCCTTTGCTGCCACAGGCAGATGACATGTTGCCAGTGAAGCCCAGCAGAGGAGAGTCAGGGTTAACTTAGTTCACTGGGATACATGTCTACTCAAATGGAGGCTTAAGTGACAGAGCTGATAAAGGCTCAGATTAAAAGAGAGAACTCAGGCACACTTTACATTTATTTAAAGTGCACACGTAATTTTTAGAATTGATACCTGAAACAATAAAGGGAATGTTCCTTAAGAATGGGAGAGAACCTACCTGGTAAAGGCAGGCTGCTGTTCCAAGGAAAAATGCAACAATGTAATTAAAATCCTCACCATCACTCTGCAAAAACAAAATTAAAAATTACTTTTTTTCTGGTGGAAGCCCATTTCGAAAAACAATCCATCAAGATAGGATGATATGACCGTATTTATGTACAAATAGTAAATTTTCACAAAGTGGTATATAGAAAGTTCCAGAAGTTCTCAAATGGAAATATAAAATATATCATAAGAACCAAGGAGTGTGAGGTAGAGAACTACCAGCGCTCCTCTATTTCTTGGCCTATCAATTTCATTTTACCCAGAGAAGATGAAAGCCAATTGGAAAAAGTTCCACATAACGTAAAAAACCTCCTTTTACTGCAAAACCATGTGAAAATGTATAACACCCCAGCTGCCTGTAAAGTTAACCTACTGAAATAAATATTGGCAAACTTTACTATCTAGTAAGCACACCACTGAAATGTCCAATAAAGTAATTTGACATGATTAAAACAACAAAACTGAAAAGCTACTGTCCACTAGAGTGTGCTAAATCCTAATGAGAAAAGTCAGTCACACATGCTGTGCTAGATAACAGTCCTCCAGAGGAAAAACACAGATACATCACGGATACAGCATTTCTTGTAAAAGAAAACTAATGGAAACACATAAAAATCCAGTTTTTCTGTTCCTTTTTTATTCCTTTTAAATATCTTTATCACTTCTTTCAATGTTTTTATGAAGTAAAACATAAATCCCAAGGAGAAGCATTAGATTTCTTTCTTCCACGCAGGCATATAAATTTTGGCTCTTATTTTAGAAAAAATATCCTAATATAATGAAAATTTTCATAAGACATGGGAGTGTCTTTCCGACCATGGCTTCATGAAATAATACAAAGAGAAGATTTCTTTTCCACTTGCTTATGGTGTCAACGGAACTGACTGTAAGGCAGAGGGTGAGTGGCTTATTCTAGTGAGATGATCTTAAAATAGGAACCATTAATCTGTCTGGGATGCTTAAGGCCAGTTCCCCTTCAGAGGCACAGAAGGTCAACATGAAACCTTTCTACTTTAAATAAGTTTGACTTAATTACTTTTTTCTTGGTCCTTTATTTTTTTAATGACCTTTTTTTCTGATTATAAAAGTTCATGTTCACTGTAGAGAATCTGGAAAACAGATTATTACAAAGAAATTCATACAGTCTCTACTACTACAAGTCTGGAAGAATTACTGCTAACTACTTCATGTATTTCCTTCTTTTTCTGTACAAAAATATATGTATTTTTTTAAAAAATGGAATCATGCTTTTATATTGCTTCTTAGTACTTCACATTATAATGTAACATCTTGTGAAGATACTACATGTTCCTCAACTGCATGATTTGTAATTGTTATATAACCTTTCATGATTTAATTGTTGTCTTAAAATTGAATTTTATTTTCCCCTAAGTTTGTATTATCACTATATAGCTCTCTTACTTGTCTTTGGAACACTTAAAAACATGTTTCTGGAGTCAATCAGATCTGGGTTCAGATCTTTACTTACGATCTTGAACTATTCAGTTTCCTTATTTTGAAAAATAAAAGTTGTAGAGATTATATGAAATAACACATGCATACACAGAGCAGTAACTGGCACACAGCAGGTACTCAAAAACATTCCCTAACTTCTCTCTCCCTAAGGTTACTGTCTGAATCATTCATCAGATAATTAGATTACTTTTCAGAATCAGAACTGTCTAAATCTCTAGTGTACCAGCCTCATCTTTCTCCATTAGATTCTAACTTTTTTTTTATTGAGGTATAATTGATATTAACATTTTATTAGTTTTAGGTGCACAACGTAATGATTCACACTATAAATGATCAAAATAAGGCTAACTATCCACTATCATATAAAGTTACACATTTCTTTTTCTTGTGATGAGAGCTTTTAAGATTTAATCTCTCAGCAACTTTCAAATATGCAACACACATTACAGTCATCCCTGTGACTTACTTATTTTATGACTGGAAGTTTGTACCTCGACCCCTTCACCCATTTCATCCACCTCTGAACCCTCCTAACCTAATTTTCAAGGCAGAAAATAAATCTTAGTACTTGTATGAAACTGTGTACTCAGCAGAAATTCAATAAACACATGCCAAGCTGAGCTGAGCTTGGTCTTTATTTCCACTAGCTAAAGAGAAGATTGCTGCCTATGAGCACATTCTTCAATTCAATAGATATTCATTAAGCATTTACCGGCCAGGCACTGGGTTACCAGGCCTAGGATTGAAAACAAGTAAGTCCATGCCAACTCAGGGAGCTAACTCTCTAGTCAAGAAGGTAGATACATAAACCAACAATTCCCACTGAGTGACAACTGATGGGATAGGTGTTGCACATGGTACTAAGGGAACTTACTGGAGATGCACTACGCCTATCTGGAGGGAAAAAAAGGGTCAGGAAGGTTTGCAAGAAGTAAAGCTTAATCTGGGTCTTGAAGGGTGGACAATGTGGACTGAACTGGTGGACAAGGTAGACAAGGTAAGAAGAGAACCTCAGGCAGAACAAGCAGCACATGCAGTCCAAAGAGGAAGAGCTAGGGTGATGCCAAGGTTTCTTGTTTCAGCAAAATGTGAATGATACCATTCACTACATTGGGAATACAGGAGGAAAAGCAGATTTGTGAGCAGAAAAATTTGATTTCATTTTGGACATGCTGTAGAACAATCCAAATAATTATATTTAGTAGCTATTTAAGTATGCTTCAGTAGAATCTGAATAGAGCTCTAGTTTTTTATCTATTTTATTAATAGTTACATCAAAGAAAGGCCTATGACAAACAAGGCAAGTCCTAATTCTTGACTGGCTCCTATTAGAGGAAAAAACATTATAAAGGATATTTAGGGCCAGTTATAGAAATCTGAAAATGTATTTTATATGCGATAATAGTGCATTGATCTTAAATTGCTTTGGTTTAATAAAGGTACTGTGGTTCTATAGAATGGCCTAGTTCTTAAGACATACATATTGAGTAATTTTGGAATAAACTGTTATGATACTTTCAATTTTACTTTCAAATGACTCAGCAAAAAAAAAAAAAGGAGAGAAAGGAAGGTAAGTAGGTATACAGGGGAGTGTTAATTGTATTGTTTTTTAAACCTTTCTGTAAGTTTGAAATCCTTCAAAATAAAATGTTGTGCAGTGGGTGGGGGGGGGGCAAAGAGGACACAATTGAAAAAAAAGGCTATGCAGCCACTAACTAAAAAGAACCTAGTAGATCTCTCTATATACTGATTTGAAATGATCTCCTACGTATTGTTATGTGAGAAAAGATACAAGTTAGTGTGAAGAGCATACTGCCATTTACACAGAAGTACTTCTGAAAGAATAATTAAAGAGAGGAAAAAAGATGGCAGCATGAGAAGTGAGGCAGAAACCTCCTCCCAAAACCACATAAAACACAAAAATATAGCAAATACAACTAATCCTGAAAGAGCGACCAGATAGAAGACAGCAACAGATGGCCTACATCTGGGGAAAAGAGAAAACCTCACAGAAAAGGGTAAAGTAGCAAAGCCGTGATCCAGTGGGACCCAAGCCCTCCCTCTACCCCAGCTTATGGGCAGGAGGAAGAGAAACAGAGCGGGAAGGGAGTAGAAGCCAGGACTGCTAAACACCCATCCCTGAAGATCTGCACAAATCCACATTACATGGTGTTCTGGAGATAGAGGGGTGGAAAGCAAATACAGGCAGAATACTCAGAGACTGAGATTCCAGCTACTCATGGAGAACAGGTACCCACAACCAGCCACTCCAGGACAAAAGAAAGGCGGGCAGGAGTGCTAAAGGGGCAGGGATTACACAGAGTTTGCTGCTCAGGACAAAGGACAGGTGGACAAAATCATTCCAGCACACTCAGCATAGGAGGTTGGGAACTTTCAGGAGCTTTACACGCCCCATCCCCCTAGCTGGCAACACAGCAAAAAGGCTCCCCACTGCAATACACAGCCTGCCTCTCCTTCCTTCTGGCCAGCACTGGACCAGGCCAGTCGGACCGCCTTGCCTATGGCAGCTACAGGGGTGTATCACAGAAGGTCCTCCCTGCGCACTCGGCCCACTGGTCCTGGCAGTGGAGGCAGGCACTGGAGCCAGGAAGCAGGAAAGAGCTCTCTTCTCCTGATAGGCACTGGCGCTGCATGCCTGCGACCCCAGCTATCACTCCAAGGACTGGGCAGCTCCAGAGAGTGGAGCTTCAGGGGACTAGAGGTCACTGCCTACACAAAGTTATAATTCCTTAGTAATTATTATTTTTTAAAAAAGAAGAAATACAAAATGGCAAAAGAATCTGGCACAAATGAAAATCTCTCAAACACCAGAAAGAGGGCTAAGTGAAATTGAAATCACCAATCTTCCTGATAAAGATTTTAAAATAAAAATCATAAACATGCTCACAGAGCTACACAAAAATAGTCAAGATCTGAGAGAGGACTTCAGAAAAGACACAGAAACTTTGAAAAATACAGTATCCAAAAAGAAACATACAATGGAGGGACTTAAAAGCAGATTGGATGAAGCAGAGGAGACAGCAAATGAAATAGAAATTAGAGAACAGCAATACAAAGAAGGTGAGGCACAGAGATAAAAAAGGATTTTTAGGAATGAAAAAATATTAAGAGCATTGTGTGACCAATCCAAACAGAACAATATTGGCATTATAGGGGTACCAGAAGAAGAAGAGAGAGAAAAAGGGATAGACAGTGTCTTTAAGGAAATAATTGCTGAACACTTCCTCAGTGTAGGGAAGAAAATAGTCTCTCAGGCCATGGAAGTACACAGATTTCCCAACAAAAGGGACCCAAGGAAGACAACATCAAGACATATAATAATTAAAATGGCAAAGATCAAGGATAAGGACAGAGTATTAAAAGGAGCTAGAGAGAGAAAAAATATCACATACAAAGGAATACCCAACAGGCTATCATCAGACTTCTCAGCAGAAACATTACAGGCCAAAAGTGAGTGGCCTTACTTGTCTTTGGAACACTTAAAAACATGTTTCTGGAGTCAATCAGATCTGGGTTCAGATC